CATGGTGTCTACCAGAGCTCCCAGTAAGGCCAGGTTAATTTCAACACAACTCTCAGGTGCCCTAATTACCTCAACTGCCTCAACTTAACCAACACTATTTACTTAACAAACAACCAGCAAGTGTAACAAACTACATGTATTCAAATCAGCTAAAAGATATTCTAGATTTTCAAAGTATTCAGTTGAATAATATTTATGTAATGTGACCAATGAGACGAAAATAATCTTGTGAGCTATCAGTCAGATCACCAGTTGTTTTAAGATGGTTAGGTTAGGTTAGGTTTTTAAGTTACTGGAAGAAAACAACAACGTCTCGAGCCACTGATTAATTATTATCTTGAGTAAACACTGAGCTCCACCCAACCAGAGGCGTAGATTCAACCCATAAACACCCCGGTAAGATAGCCTTGCAGCTCACACTCAGACACCAGACCGATATTTAAATCAGTCTGTCTCCCCTCACACAGTCTGTCTCCCCACACAGTCTGTCTCCCCACACAGTCTGTCTCCCCCACACAGTCTGTCTCCCCCACCCATCTGTCCCCCCACCCTGTCTGTCTCCACCCACACAGTCTGTCCCCCCACACTGTCTGTCTCCACCCACACTGTCTGTCTCCACCCACACAGTCTGTCCCCCCACACAGTCTGTCCCCCCACACTGTCTGTCTCCACCCACACAGTCTGTCTCCCCACACAGTCTGTCTCCCCACATAGTCTGTCTCCCCACACAGTCTGGCTGGTTGTTCTCACACACCAGTAAAATGTACTGACACCGATAACAACGTCTGCTCTGGTGGTTAATGAAGAACTACCCAATACAGTCGACAAAAACACAAGATATAGCTGTTAAAATAATAATAATATAGATGGAAGTTTAAGGAATATCAAGGTATAATAAAGCTGTTAAAATAATAATAATATAGATGGAAGTTTAAGGAATATCAAGGTTTTATAAAGACATTTGAAGTCGGTTTATCATCTGTGTTTGTTTTGACACGAAGAGCATCACCCCATCAGGTCCGTAGCGGCACCAGGACTGTCCCCACACCCACTGATTATACAAGTCTCGGAGTGATAGTGTGATAGCGTGTACCTTTATAAGAAGAGGATTCACAGTCGTATAAAAGTCTTTACAGTTAGTGACAGCGAAGACAGGATATATCTACCACAGTAAGGCGACTCCTATAAACACCAATGGTTAAGTGAGAGTTTTAACCTCACCAGATGTAATAAACTTGGTATACTGTACAGTCGGGAGGCAAACGTTCGCTCCCTCCCAAACTGAAGCAGTGTGGACCCCAAACAACACACCCTCACCAGATGACAGTCAGGATCAGTCAGTTCGGAAACTCATTCCCGTGACGAAGGTTTCATCAGGTTAGTTATATTATATAAACATCACAGTTAACTTTGATACGAATATATGTAAAAATGTTTTATCCTGAGACTTAGTGGTTTAAAAATGTTAAGTAGTTACCACGGTAAGAGGATTAATGGTTTACACAACTCGTTGACCTGACCAGACCTGACCTGACCTGACCTGACCTTAGTGAAGCTTTATATATGTATTGCCACTAAGGTTGTTTTTGTTAACTTGTTTAACCTTGTGTTAAAAAGCACACGGGACTTGTGAGACAATGCTTATTGTTCTGTGTAACGGGGTTTAACGTAATCCTTAAAATGTTCAGGATTTTTTTCTTGTTATTATTGAGTCTGTCGGGTAACACAACATAAGATGGTACGGTCGGGTCGGGTCGGGTCGGGTCGGGTCGGGTCGAGTCGGGTCGGGTCGGGTCGGGTTAGCTGAGGGCCGCAGTAAATACACAAAAATCCTGAAAAGTTTAGGGATTATATGAAGTCCCTAGTTACACATATTCCCTGGAACACATAAGTAATAACAACACATTTTAGGGAATATGTAGAAAGGGCAACAAGTTGTTCCTCTCTGACTCCCTACACAGATCTGATGGACCCTGTTGCTTCATTACCTGGCGTCTGTGGCTACAATAACTCTAGAACCTACATGTTGTCACCCCAGCACCCAAAAGTCTGACGTTACAAATTATAATGAAACAAACACAAGTCACCTCTCCCTCTGAACCACGAACCCCAGACTGATTCAGACTCGTGAACCCGAAGCAGCAGACTGATACACTATTCTGTCCATAAATGTTGCCACTAGAGATGGAAAGGTTTTAAGAGGACAAACATAACGTAATTCTCGACCACTCTCTCTCTCTCATCCACCACAGTGTAAGCAGGTGTTAGTGTATGGTATCTACTGTGTGAACGGTGGTCAGGTCTGGTGACGTTAAGCAAGTCTTACACCTGTAATAATGGTTGTCCCTCGTGTAACGAGGATGGCCGGCCCAAGGGCCACCTAGTCGTGAATTTGCTTAGGATGTAGAAGCTGTCGCCAACACAACAACCACACCCTGAGTTAACGAGCTGCATGACCCAGTGTTTAAGGTGTAGACGCTGTCGCCAACACAACAACCACACCCTGAGCTAACGAGCTGCATGACCCAGTGTTTAAGGTGTAGAAGCTGTCGCCAACACAACAACCACACCCTGAGTTAACGAGCTGCATGACCCAGTGTTTAGGTGTAGAAGCTGTCGCCAACACAACCCACACCCTGAGTTAACGAGCTGCATGACCCAGTGTTTAAGGTGTAGAAGCTGTCACCAACACAACAACCATACCCTGAGTTAACGAACTGCATGACCCAGTGTTTAACATGTAGAAGCTGTCGCCAACACAACAACTACACCCTGAGTTAACGAGCTGCATGACCCAGTGTTTAAGGTGTAGACGCTGTCGCCAACACAACAACCACACCCTGAGCTAACGAGCTGCATGACCCAGTGTTTAAGGTGTAGAAGCTGTCGCCAACACAACAACCACACCCTGAGTTAACGAGCTGCATGACCCAGTGTTTAAGGTGTAAAAGCTGTCGCCAACACAACAACCACACCCTGAGTTAACGACCTGCATGAAACAGTGTCAAGGAATAGTCCGAGAAGATCGGACAACTCGTCAACTACACTGGCTAACCATTACCCCGGAACATGATCCGCAAATCAATTAACATCCAGGTTCCCAATTACTGCAGGGTAGACAGAGGCAAATGGCGTAAAGAAACTTGTCCATAGTTTCACCCTGTCCGGGTATCGAACCCGGGTCCGCTCGCTTGCGAGGCGAGAATGCTGACCATTACACCACAGGTCACACACACACTCTCGTCTCCTACAACTTAAGTAAACATCTCGTCTCCTACAACTTAAGTAAACATCTCGTCTCCTACAACTTAAGTAAACATCTCGTCTCCTACAACTTAAGTAAACATCTCGTCTCCTACAACTTAAGTAAACATCTCGTCTCCTACAACTTAAGTAAACATCTCGTCTCCTACAACTTAAGTAAACATCTCGTCTCCTACAACTTAAGTAAACATCTCGTCTCCTACAACTTAAGTAAACATCTCGTCTCCTACAACTTAAGTAAACATCTCGTCTCCTACAACTTAAGTAAACATCTCGTCTTCTACAACTTAAGTAAACATCTCGTCGTCTTCTACAACTTAAGTAAACATCTCGTCTCCTACAACTTAAGTAAACATCTCGTCTCCTACAACTTAAGTAAACATCTCGTCTCCTACAACTTAAGTAAACATCTCGTCTCCTACAACTTAAGTAAACATCTCGTCTCCTACAACTTAAGTAAACATCTCGTCTTCTACAACTTAAGTAAACATCTCGTCTTCTACAACTTAAGTAAACATCTCGTCTTCTACAACTTAAGTAAACATCTCGTCTTCTACAACTTAAGTAAACATCTCGTCTCCTACAACTTAAGTAAACATCTCGTCTCCTACAACTTAAGTAAACATCTCGTCTTCTACAACTTAAGTAAACATCTCGTCTCCTACAACTTAAGTAAACATCTCGTCTCCTACAACTTAAGTAAACACAACTTAAGTAAACATCTCGTCTCCTACAACTTAAGTAAACATCTCGTCTCCTACAACTTAAGTAAACATCTCGTCTCCTACAACTTAAGTAAACATCTCGTCTCCTACAACTTAAGTAAACATCTCGTCTTCTACAACTTAAGTAAACATCTCGTCTCCTACAACTTAAGTAAACATCTCGTCTTCTACAACTTAAGTAAACATCTCGTCTCCTACAACTTAAGTAAACATCTCGTCTCCTACAACTTAAGTAAACATCTCGTCTCCTACAACTTAAGTAAACATCTCGTCTCCTACAACTTAAGTAAACATCTCGTCTCCTACAACTTAAGTAAACATCTCGTCTCTACAACTTAAGTAAACATCTCGTCTTCAAGCAACTTAAGTAAACATCTCGTCTTCTACAACTTAAGTAAACATCTCGTCTCCTACAACTTAAGTAAACATCTGTCTCCCCTACAACTTAAGTAAACATCCGTCTCCCTCAAGCAACTTAAGTAAACATCTCTGTCTTCACAACTTAAGTAAACATCTCGTTCCACAACTTAAGTAAACATCTCGTTCTCACAACTTAAGTAAACATCTCGTCTCTACAACTTGGCAAACATCTCGTCTCCCTTGCCAACTTAAGTAAAACATCTCGTCTCCTGCCAACTTAAGTAAACATCTCATCTCCTACAACTTAAGTAAACATCTCCCTACAACTTAAGTAAAACATCTCGCCCCACAACTTGCTAAACATCTCGTCTTCTTCACAACTTAAGTAAACATCTCGTCTCCTACAACTTAAGTAAACATCTCGTCTCCTACAACTTAAGTAAACATCTCGTCTCCTACAACTTAAGTAAACATCTCGTCTCCTACAACTTAAGTAAACAGAAGCACTTATAATAATCGCCTCATTTCTTTTTTTAGTAATCACAACACGTAGCGACAGATCAGTCTCATGTAAAGGTCAAATTCATTCAGCGAGACGAGTCCTTAGTTAAACTTAGCTGTTTCTCACATTAAATGTTTTGGTGAGTTGGTCTATAGATCTAAGCTTGATATCTGGGCCGCGTCCTCCCCTGGCTGGTGAGGATGTCTGGCCCGTGTCCTCCCCTGGCTGGTGAGGATATCTGGCCCGCGTCCTCCCCTGGCCTGGTGAGGATATCTGGCCCGCGTCCTCCCCTGGCCTGGTGAGGATATCTGGCCCGTGTCCTCCCCTGGCTGGTGAGGATATCTGGCCCGCGTCCTCCCCTGGCTGGTGAGGATGTCTGGCCCGCGTCCTCCCCTGGCCTGGTGAGGATATCTGGCCTGGGCGTCCTCCCCTGGCTGGAGAGGATGTCTGGCTCCGTGTCCTCCCTGGCTGGTGAGGATGTCTGGCCCGTGTCCCCTGGCTGGTGAGGATGTCTGGCCCGTGTCCTCCCCTGGCTGGTGAGGACATCTGGCCTGCGTCCTCCCTGGCTGGTGAGGATATCTGGGTCCCGCGTCCTCCCCTGGCTGGTGAGGATATCTGGCCCGCCAGTCCTCCCCTGGCTGGTGAGGATGTCTGGCCCGTGTCCCTCCCCTGGCTGGTGAGGATATCTGGCTCCAAGTGTCCTCCCCTGGCTGGTGAGGATATCTGGCCCGCGTCCTCCCTGGCTGGTGAGGATATCTGGCCCGCGTCTCCCCTGGCTGGAGGATATCTGGGCCCGCGTCCTCCCCTGGCTGGTGAGGATGTTCTGGCCCGTGTCCTCCCCTGGCTGGTGAGGATATCTGGCCCGCGTCCTCCCCTGGCTGGTGAGGTGACATCTGGCCCGCGTCCCCTCCCCTGGCTGGTGAGGATATCTGGCCCGCGTCCCCCTGGCTGGTGAGGACAGCCCGCGTCCTCCCTGGCCTGGTGGGAGTGACATTCTTCCGGCCCGCGTCCTCCCCTCTTCGGCTGGTGAGGATATCTGGTCTGGGCGTCCTCCCTGGCTGGGTGAGGATGTCTGGCCTGTGTCCTCCCTGGCTGGTGAGGTGATATCTGGCCCGCGTCCTCCCCTGGCTGGTGAGGATGTCTGGCCCGTCTCCTCCCCTGGCTGGTGAGGATATCTGGCCCGCGTCCTCCCCTGGCTGGTGAGGATGTCTGGCCCGCGTCCTCCCCTGGCCTGGTGAGGATATCTGGCCCGCGTCCTCCCCTGGCCTGGTGAGGACATATGGCTGGTTCAAAAAGCCTAAATTTCCACAACCACCAATAACTGCTACTGTTAAAGGGGCAGTTGTAGTTGTGAGAGACATAATTATGAGTAATATGCGAGTTATTTAATTCACTATTATTCTAGGTTATGGTGTAAGCTGAGGTATATCGTGTGTGTGTGTGTTGTGAGGTTAGGTTAGGTTAGGTTAGGTTAGGTTGGAGAAGTGTTCATAAACTGTAAAAAAATTCAGTAATTATTTTAAAAATTCTTATTATTTCTCCTAGGGGACTTTTGTCCTAGGGGGCTTTTGTCCTAGGGGGCTTTTGTCCTACACTCCCAGTAAATATGTGGCTTAAATCTTAGTGCAGTTTGTCTTTATTAACACACACACACACACACACACACACACGACGTTGATACAGACGTGAGGGATTCGATATACAACTAAACCGTATCTAACCTAACCTAACCTAACCTAACCTAACCTAACCTAAGCTTCTTCACTAGTAACACACCGTGACCATGAATGACGTAAACACATGCTGGTAAACATGTTGCCGCCTCCAACACAATACACTACACACGATGCGGAACTAAAGAACATAGCACAACACGACACAACACAAAATAATGCCGCAACACAAAGCAACTTAATATAATATGACACGACAACACACAACACAACACCTGTAACACTGCCCTCTCACTTCTCTCCACCATGTCTATTAAACTAACTCAGATATCACAAATTCTTTAATCAGTCTCAAACTATTCTAGACACAGTGTTATGTATAGCAGGATAACTTGCTACTGTATACATGGCAGTTTAATACATGATAAAATAGTCATTGGTTATACATGTTTTATGAGGGGGAAAAACTACAATATTTACGAGACTAAAATGATACCAGGCAAGTGTGTTAAAACTGTATTAAACTATGTAGACTGTTCATACGGTGATGGTGAACGTTATGTAGCAGCGACACACATACACTCATTGATGACGTCACTACAAGACAGCTGAACTAATAAGAACAAAACAAAATACCACCTAAATCCTCAGTGTCATTTGTTATTACGTCGAGGCACAACAAGGCGAGATGAATCCTGTACAGTTATGTTATTGGTGAACGAGGAGGGACAGGCGGTGACCCTCACTTAACGAGGCCCAGTAGTGCCTCTGTCTACACCTCACTTAATACTATTGATATACTGAGAGCACGCCACACTATGTGCTACAAAGAGTGATGTCATCCTTCTATGTGTGTGTATATGTGTGTGTGTGTGGGTGTGTGTGTGTGTGTGTGTGTGTGTGTGTGTGTGTGCGCTCGCGCACAAGGTGGTGTAATGCATCTAGTATGGCAGCATTATGTTAGTGTTAAGGTGAAAGAACTGCTTGCTCCCTCTCGAACAGGGAAGGAACTTACAGAAGTCTCCCCCTGCCAGTACACAGCCTCTTCACCATCAAGACTCCTGCTGTGCCTCCTCGTGGCAACACACGGTAACTGGGTGCCTCGTGAGCCCAGGCTAGACCAGCAGAGAATCTCGGAGTAGCTGTGGGCCTCAGAGGGACGGCGCATAGGCCCACTAGCATGTGGACATGTCCTGGCGCTTACCAACCGCCGCCCCGCTGCCTTAACCTTGGCAGGTATAAGGCTACGGGAGTAAACCCCGAACGAAAAATCTGTGGTGGAGCCCCGCATCAGGGAGACATGCTGACAGAGCTCCAACAAGATGTACACAACCAGATAAAATGACTGACACACACACACACACACACACACACACACAAGCTGACCGCCTTTCTCACAAGTCCTGGCAATCACATTACATGAAGTTGGGATCAAGATGACAGCCTTAAGACCAGAGTATCACGTGACTGTGTGTCGTAACTCTACTGATGTGAGCAGCGATGAGAGACACACATCACCACAATGAGACACAATAATAGCCACTGAGAAACAAGGAGAGACTAACGGTGGTGAGGCGTTGTTAACATGTGTGTGTGACTAACTCTCTCTCACCACACTCCCCACACTCCTCCCTCACCACACTCCCCTCACTCCTCCCTCACCACACTCCCCTCACTCCTCCCTCACACCCCCCACCTCCTCACCACCTCACCTCACCACACCTCACCTCACACCACACCCCCAATCCTCCCTCACCACACCTCACTCTCCTCCCTCACCACACCTCACCTCCACCACACTCCCTCCTCCTCCCTCACCACACTCCTCCTCACCACACCCTCCTCCTCCTCCACCACACCCCCCTCCTCCCTCACCACACCTCCCTCCCTCACCACCTCCCCTCCTCCTCACCACACCTCACTCACCACACCCCCTCACCACACTCCCCACCACTCACCTCCTCACCACCTCCCTCACTTCTCCCTCACCACCTCCCCTCCTCCTCCCCTCCCACACCTCCCCTCACTCCTCCCTCACACACTCCCCTCCTCCCTCCTCACCCTCACTCCCTCACTCCTCCCTCCCACACTCACTCCACCACACCTCCCTCACCACCTCCCCTCACTCCTCCCTCACCACCTCCTCACTCCTCCTCACACACTCCCTCTCACCTCACCCACCTCCCTCACCCACACTCCTCACCTCCTCACCACAAGAGGTCAGGATCAGCAGGCAGTTTTTGTATGAGTGGGTCACGTCCCCCCAATGTCCTCCGCCTCCTCCCACATCCTATTAAATCCTTCTAACTTCTTCCTAACTTAACTTAACACAAACTAAGTCAGAAAAATGTCCTAACCTAGCCTAACATAGCCTAGCCTAACCTAACCTCACCTAACTTGACCTAACCTAATCTAACTTGACCTAAACTAACCTAACTTAATACATCTTTACATTAACTAAATTAACCAAAGCCTAAAATAACCTAACCTAACCTAACCTGACATGACCTAACCTAACCTAATCACACGTCATTAAGAGCACAATAGTCCAATACAACACAAGCTAACGTAAAATCACCTTTCTAGCGCTTGTATATACAGTAAGGAGTAACTTCGGTTTCATTAATTTGTGTAAAAATAACTGAAATACATACATATTCATACAGTAATAGGTGGTGTATGAGTTGGAAATACATAAATACACATATACTGTATTGCTGTATCCGGCCTCACGTCAGAGAGATATTTTTATTTATTTATTTTTTTTTTTTATTGGGCACCCCCCTACAGCCTTGTGTAAGGTGAAGCGCAGAAGCGTTTACAGCGCCCAACAGGGAAGCATGCTAAGTTAATGCTTGCCTTATGTCTCACGAGTTAAGGGCGTAGAAGCCTGAAGAGTCAATGGCTTATGTCATCAAGTTATTGGAAGCTCCAACAACTTGTCCCTGAATACGAATTCGCAACTTTTCGACTTACACCAGGTACCTACTGTACTGCTAGGTGAACAGGGACTAATGGGGGCTAGGAAGAGTGTCCAAACAACTTCCACCGGCTCGGGAATCGAACCCGTGACATCTTGCTTGCGAGGCAAGAGCGGTACCGCTCTACCCACCGGCGCCCCAGAGAGATATTGTCACCACCTAGATATAATAATCACTGTTTTTTTGTGTCAATGAGTGCGGTGGCTGAGTGGATACAATGCTCACCTCCCGTCCTATGGGTCACTGGTTCGATCATGGGTGTCCTGGGTGACGGAGTGGATGCTAGTGTCTGTGTGGGTGTAATTGACTGGGGTGTTGGTGTGACTGTGTGAGTGTGGTTTAGGGGTGTAGCTGTTAGTCTGCCATTAACCAATAATAATAACACTAGCATGGGTGACTGGCGGAGTCCTCGGGGGAGATATAGCTGTTTAATTTAGTCAACTGATAAAAGGACATTCAGACAGACATATTGATACAGCGTGGAGTACAATCTGGTCCATGATAAACACACCGGGGACTCGCAGGTATGTAAACACCGTAATCTATGGGTACTGTATACAACCCGGAGCCAAAAGGTTCGCTCCCTCCCAAAGTGAAGCAGTATCGACCCCCCATGAGATAAAACAACACACCCTCACCAGATGACAGTCAGAATAAGTCAGTCAAGTCAGTTCGGAGACTCATTCCCGTGACTCAGTTTTACCGTGAGGAGGAAACTTTCATCAGTAAGTATATTTGAGATAGAAGGACAAAAGTATCACAAGTTATAAAAACATTGATGACGAAAAATACTGAAACTGTGCGCCGCTACTGATAAATAATGCCATTTACATTTAACCCCAAAAAATTTAAATTGAGCAATAATGTTGGGTACAGCGTATGAGGAACGTGTACTGTACGTGTGTGTGTGTGTGTGTGTTTTTTCGGGGTATTTTTCAATGACTTTGTATGTGATGTGTTTGCGTTTAAGCTAGTGTTTGTATTGTATGTAGGGCCAATCCGTGTCCATGGCGTGTGTGTGTGTGTGTGTGTGTGTGTGTGTGTGTGTGTGTGTGTGTGTGTGTGTGTGTGTGTGTGTCTGTGTGTGTGTGTGTGTGTGTGTGTGTGTGTGTGTGTGTGTGTGTGTGTGTCGTGTGTGTGTGTGTGTGTGTGTGTGTGTGTGTGTGTGTGTGTGTGTGTGTCTGTGTGTGTGTGTGTGTGTGTGTGTGTGTGTGTGTGTGTGTGTGTGTGTGTGTGTGTGTGTGTGTGTGTGTGTGTGTGTGTGTGTGTGTGTGTGTGTGTGTGTGTGTGTGTGTGTGTGTGTGTGTGTGTGGTGTGTGTGTGTGTGTGTGTGTGTGTGTGTGTGTGGGGTGTGTGTGTGTGTGTGTGTGTGTGTCTGTGTGTGTGTGTGTGTGTGTGTGTGTGTGTGTGTGTGTGTGTGTGTGTGTGTGTGTGTGTGTGTGTGTGTGTGTGTGTGTGTGTGTGTGTGTGTGTGTGTATGTGTGTGTGTGTGTGTGTGTGTGTCTCTGTGTGTGTGTGTGTGTGTGTGTGTGTGTGTGTCGTGTGTGTGTGTGTGTGTGTGTGTGTGTGTGTGTGTGTGTGTGTGTGTGTGTGTGTGTGTGTGTGTGTGTGTGTGTGTGTAATAATAATAATAATAATAATAATTAACGGTTTATTGAAAGAGCTTGCAGCCAGAAGGCTGAAAATATACAGTTACATATTTGGGGA